TGAGTGCTGTGCATGCGCCTGTGCCGTAGCGTGCTCGTGCATGTGGCATATACTGGCATGCTTGTAGCGGTGTGGCCTGTGCGTGGCGCCTGTGCGTCGCGTGGCTGTGGGCCATCGTGCAATACGTCAATGCTTGTACGTGTGTGCCTGTGGCCGTCGCGCTGTGCGTGCATGCGTGGCTGTGCCATGTGCATATACGTGCATGCTTGTACGTGTGTGCCTGTGCCGTGCGCCTGTGCGTGCGTGGCTGTGCCATGTGCATATACGTGCGTGCCTGTGCCATTGTGTCATATACGTGCATGCTTTACGTGGGATGCCGTTGTGCCGTGGCGCCTGGTGGGCGTGTGCGTGGCTGTGCCATGTGCATATACGTGCATGCCTGTGCGTGCGTGCCTGTGCCATGTGCATATACGTGCATGCCTGTGCCGTGCGCGCGCTTGTATGTGCGTGCCTGTGCCGTTCACGTGCGTGTACGTGTGCACTGTTGTAATGGGTACTAAAAGTAGTATGCTTATGTGGTGTTAGATCATAATGCCATTTAGATAGGCAATACGTCATTTGCAATACCGTGTATGTAAATAGAAGCTGATAACAAAGTGACTGGTTTGCGTTTCTATAGGAGAACTTGAGGGGCAAGGAGTTTACCTTCTGGCAATGGTACTACAGTGCAGCAAAGCTGCTAAAGGAGGACAAGCAGTTAAAGCAGATGTGGAACTCTAGGTGAGTTTGAATTGATGAATAGGTAGTTGTTGGAAGGTGACTAATACTGTAGATTTTTCGTTGACTCACTCACATACATGATGGGGGAGGGACTTACATAGTACCTATTGCTGTATTTCAGATATTAGTTTCGTAGCACGGTTTTATAAAATGCAATCTGTTAGAAAAACTTGTAATGATATGGGTCACTTGTTCATGGAAATGTGTTCTGCCGAGTAGCTTTCTTCCTACACAATTCCAAGAAAAGTGCGCACGTAATTATGTCTAGTTGTGGCACTGGTGATGTGATGTATCAATGTGTGCATGATTGCCATCTGGGGGCAGCCTCCTCATGGGTTTCATCGGGAAAGGCAAGGCAGAACAGATACTTGCGAGCAAGCCGAAAGGAACATTCTTGGCAAGGTTTTCCGAGAGCAGGCAGGGTGGCATAACCATCGCCTGGATACAAGATGTTGAAAGTAAGTCATCGTATCCGATGCCGTTATTTTTGCATTTCAAAGTGTTGACCTTTAACGAATTGGATAGTTAACTGTAAATATACCGTAAAAGTCAAATTATTAAGGTCTCGTGAAGGTTCTATTGAGGTCCATTGAGTTGAACTAATTTTGTGTTCAGATTTTAAATCGTAACGTTTATGTGGTTAGTACTTCACTCAACTGGGGTCTATTGACTAATCTCTTTGGAGCTGTTGTCATCTGGCTTGCTAATACCGATGTTTTGAATGGCATTTCAATGAGTTTAGGATTGGATTCGATTATCAGTTTGAGCAGAGTTAAATATTGATTTCCTGCTTTCATGATATTAGTTGTAGCTATCAATATGAAATAATAATTAAATGTACAATGATGCATGCCACTATCTATTTCTCATTGCTCTTATCAATTAAATTTCCTCTCTATTTCAATCACACGACTGTTTTTAGCATTTGTCTCTCTAGAACTCGCTATATCCCACCTTTGAGCATTCACCTTCTCTCTGGTACTCGCTTTCTCACCTGTTAGCATTCACGTTTTCTCCAATTCTCTTTCACTGTTGCTCTCTGTTCATCTACCGTATCCCAGCATTCATTTTTTTCGTTCTCCTGCTCCATTTGGTTGTATGCCACCAGGTGGTGCTGTTCTATTGGCACTAATAGAAAATCTTCAGGACCTATTGTAGTACGCGTGTGCAAAGTTTCACAATTCTAACCGAAAGTGCACGATCCATGCGCTTATCCGCCCTACTAGTTTGCATAATGGGAATTCCTGTCGTCTGCAGATCACATGGGCGTGTACCACCTGGCAGCATGGACGGCGGCTGACTTTAAGCAGCGCTGCCTGGCCGATCGCATCCGTGACCTCGCGAGCCTGCTCTACCTGTGCCAGGACCCGAATGCAGAGCCGATGCCTAAAGACCAGGCGCTGCAGAGTTACTACACGATTCCCGAGCCACAGTGTACGTTTTCGTCTGACTCATAGAACAGATGTGTTAACACAACAGTAACAACAGCTATGATTTGGCAATTACAGTCACGTATAATACGGTACTACTGCGTAATAGAGACGGGTGCCTCCGGTAGCAATGCACAGTATCGAGGCACTAGAAACGTAACTTAACTGATAAAGCATTGCACGTCCATTTGATGACATGTCCATTGAATGTAGCCCTGATGTGCTTTTCTTGTCAAAGTTAGAAAGTGCAGTCAGTCTAGCACGCCAGGTACTGTCTTGTCGATTTCATCAGCATTTCAGCATTTAAGGTATCATGGTGCAGGGTGCGAAATTAACGCGAGTCCGGAGTCAAATACTCCCTGATTTACTGTCGGACTCCTGGATTTGACATATGCAGGAGTCCGTGTGACTCCCTGAAAATTCTGCTATACAAACTAGTTTATTCCGGAGCACGGCCTCGCGGAATTACCGTATTTTTTCAGCGAATGTCCGAAGAAAATTCGCCAGACGTGCCATGCAGACACGTCACATGCGTTATTGTTAATATCTTTAGTTTTTAACTTCAGACTGTGGACTCCCTCTTTTTGAGGGCAGGGAGTCCGTTAGACTTTCTTATTCACAAGTTAATTTCTACCCCTGATGGTGTTTTGACATGTTTCAGTGAAAATGGAACCGAACGCCGATGGATATGTCGTCTCTGACCTGAAGTGTCACCTGCCAGACAGGTAGGTAACGATTAGGGGTGGAACGACATGGGTAGCTCACAATACGATCCATATCATGATACAGCCTTCACAGTACAATCAGTACCATGATACAGCCTTAGCGATACGATCCGTATCACGATACAGCCTTTACGATATGATATCTATCGTGATACAGCCTTCACGGTACGATACGTATCACAATACAGCTTTCACAGTACGATACAAAGGGCAATACTTTTAAGAGAAACTACCTAGTAAGCTATGTAATCAAGCGGGGCTCTGTGATCACTTACAAATCAGTATCATTGAGTGCTTAGTAAACAGCTTCTATGGAATTGCGAATTGTTTTACGTTTCATTTGTTTTTTGATGAAACTAAGCTGGTAAATGATATGGATTTTATTGAGTAGAGTATTGATACGGGTATCGCGAATGATCAAACGTATTAATACATGTATCATCAAGGTTTGTATCGCAATAGATCGATATAATATATATGTCGATGAATTGTCCCACCCCTAGTAATGATCGTGTTGCGATACCTCCATGAATGTGAACGTGTGAAGTAGGCTACTGAGGGGACCTTGCAGTTGTTAAAGGCTGGCTAATGGGTAGAAAGGTAGCCTGTTATATCATTAATAGATGGGTAATTGTGTTGCTTGTTTATTTCAAATTGTTTTGTTTGTTAAAACTACTGCGTACAGGATTCATAAGATAATCAATTGTTATAAGTCAACTTGGTGCAGGGTTGGAGGCATCACCTTTACTTTACTGCGGGGAAGTTCATTATTCTGAGTTGATCGGAGACCACCGCTGTTTTTCCTACTCTGGAGGAACATGTCTTGAACCCAGATATGCGAATAATCGCACACAAGGGGAGCATGAGCTGCTCAAAAGACTTGCCACACGGCAGGCCGCATGGAGTCGATAACGATTCTATTATATAGATTCCATTATATTATAGATTATTCTTATTACAGTATTATATGGATGTTTCCCCCGTCGCAGGTTTGATCAGATGCACCTGGACGACCCTCGTTCCCCGGCGAGCGTACAGAGCAGTAGCTACGAGCCACCGTCGCCTGCCATCTCCTACGCCGGGAGCACGTCGCAGCAACCCAGCGCCAACTTTGTTGACGTTGGGAGGTGGGTGTCAGAATCAATGGCTCTTGACTCCTAGTGGTGTGTGTGGCATGTACGTAGCCTCATCATTATGCAACCTCGAGTCTGTATTAGTAGCCGTAGATGCGAGTGGTGGCTGTGTAGGTGCAGTTTCTCGATATTCGCAGCGTGTTTTGCCGAGTCGTTGCGACTGCAGTGCTCGTAATGAGTGCAAAGTTCGTTAGGGGTAGTTGTATTTTGCTGAGTTGTTGCGATTGTAGTGCTCGTAACAAGTGAAAAGTTCGTTAGAACTTCGTGGGTAAAGTGAGAAACTGCACGTACACACACCTGTAGTTGATTAGTCAGTAGTTTAATAGTCCGTTAGTTGTTTTTGCTAACCATACCACATCTGTATGTGTTGCACTAGTACACTGGTATTATTTCATTTCTGCTGTGCGTGCGTGCGGAATGTATGCGTGATAGTGAGGGTTAGTGGTGAAGTTTGTAAATGAGAGAGTTAGAGTAAAGGGGTTTAATACACAGCATCCACTCCCACACACATGCACAGCTCGTTAAATCATTCCTTTGTGAATTGGTTAATTTCTGGTGATTGGCGATCATGCATAGAGGGAATCACACAGAGATGCTTACTAATTGTTTGTAGTCAGCTTTCTGTAAGCCATCCCTACCGTTGTTGATACTAATACAAATTTTCCTGATGCCATTTCGCACATTGGCAATATTCGTACTTTTATTTTAAAGCTAGGGATACCTAGACACATTGGCCGTAGAGAGTTTCAGAGCAGCAAGCATAAGTATTGACCGCTGCCGGACAGTCGGCTGCGCCGTGGCCGATGACGGTCAGTAGCACGTTACCATAGTTACGCCATTGTCGTCGAGTAAATTAACGCTCTGCCGACCATCGCCGCACGGTGACCTTCCACGTGTGACAGCCCTCGGTAGCGGTGGCAGTCTGCTGCGCAGACAACGGCATAACCATGGCAACGGCGTAAACCGTTGCGACGTTCTCTTGCAGCGGCAACCCGCTGATCGACAACATGGATCTCATGGCGGACTTCATGACGGACAGTGGCGCCCCCTTCTCGCCGCAGGTCGACTACGTTGATGACCTCGTCGACATGAGCGTCTTCAACCTGGTGTGTGGTCAGGGTCAGGACATGTTCCTGGGTGGGGCGGGGGATCCCGACAGCACCAACTAGACACTCCTCTCACAGCAGGTAGCGCGCGGTGGGGAGCAAATGAAATGCGATTCTCTCGCGGGCCGACCATAACGGTTTTGAATTTTGGGTCGCGCCTGAGGCATTGAACAAGCGAGAGTGGGTCTACGATCACCAGCATGGCGTGATTCGTGGCGATGTTCGGGCGATTTCCGAAATCGACCGTCGTCGATCGTTCGCTTGTCTCGCTCTCTCCACTCGACGCACTGCATCCTACGTCTCCTGTTGGATTTCTCAACTCAGGTTCACAGGAGTACGCCCGGGTCTCACGTCTAAAGCATCTCCGTGGTTTATGTATCAGCTGCTGATTAAGATGCCAATTGGAGTTGTGATGTTAGAAATCACTCGGACTAATCGTTATGTATTGATAACCGAGATAGCATACTCATGTAATGAAATGATACTCGTAGAAACAACTGTGTTGCTACTTTATTCGTTGAAACTACTAAACTTGCATGGCAGAGTTTGTTGCGATGAAGTTAAAATGTAAATTTTGTGTGGTAACACCGATGAGAGAACGAAAAAATGTTTATCGATGCACTAAGTATTTGTTCTAGCTGTGGTCAACTGCGGTGTCAAATTTTGTAGGAAGATAATACACTAAATCTTTTCGATCTACCTAATAGTATGAACGTATCTATGCTCTATGCTATGCAAATATAGCTATATTCATGATGTTGATAATAGTAGTTTTTACAAATAGATTTGTGCTATGAAGAACTACCTTTGCTGGAGTAATTTGTCCGCTTCATTAGATTTAGCTGGTGCTGTTGGGATCCCCTGTCTTAAATATTGCCATCTCTTAACAGTCTTAGAAATAACAGATCCCCTGCCTTCCTGAGGGTTGGCTAGATTTTGTGGATTTTACTCTAGATTAAAGAGTAGAAATCAAAGTATTTTTGGGGACTGGCTGGGCTTTCACACTTATTTCTAAGACGGATCTGACGTGAAAGCGGATGTTGGTAGCATTTCCTTCTGCATCCTCTCTAAATGTCATCTCGCGTTCCTGCACGCGGCCCAAACTCTGATCCCAAAACTGCAGCGGAACATGCACATATTGTGCACCTCCCATTACTACCCATCTCGCTTTCACCTGACCAGGGGATGCATCATGAATGCAAAACCGAGGGGATATAATCTGCTTAAAACAAATGAAATCTTGCGAATGAAATATTTCCAAAGAGGTTGTTGTCTGTCGCGCGGTTTCGGCTGTTAGTCACTACCCTTGTAATCAAGTAGCTCACACGACCGGTGTTGTTCAGTTGCCACCGCAATGACTGGCCCAGCTGTGATAGTAAAATGATATTTAAGTACTGATCTCTATTTTGTTTATCGCCGTTCAGAATGGCGACGTGTTGAATTTTTTTAGGCCAGCGATTCTCTGAATGTGTCTCAGAATCCCAGCACGCGGGTGCTGCATATGTGACGTCGTCCGTTTTTGGGGGGTAAAAATGTGTATAAGTGCACAAATTGCGAAGCATTATGCGAGTGCACAGCTGTTTATCGTCGTAGTTTTTCTAGAGCCGATGAGTAATTTTTGTGTTACAAAGTAGCACGCCCAAATATTTTATATCTGTCAGGGTACGAAATGACAATGCGAATTTGTTATGTATGATTAATAATATGCGGGTATTATTTGAATTTATCACGGAATGGATTCACAAATGCAATCTGCTGACCCCTGCATCGCTGTTTGTTGTGTATAGCCAGCGTATAACTTAGATAGTGGCCGGATATGTACTCGGTGCCGTGTGAGAGCAGTCAATGTTGCCCGCACACTTATTAATTACTCTAAATAATATATCATTAAGAGCTAATAATACCTTTAGGTATTATAATAAATATAATAAGGTATTATTAGCTCTTGATATCATAGATAGTAGAATCGTGTTGCTGGAGCTCCCTCCATCAGCGTGGAAGCTCACACAGTGAGACATGTAGACAAGGGGGGTGTGTGTGGATATATCTTTCGGTCAATGTATCGTGTATATTATCAAAACATCAAGAAGTGCAACTGCCGTATTGTGGAAATACTTACCAGAACCACAGCGCAGGGTTTAAAAAAATGTCAGCAACTAACTGGGCAGCAGTACTTTGCTTGAATACGTTCTAGTTACAACTACTTAATAATGAAGTGATTAGTGAGTATATTGCTCTTACTCTTAGTAATCATACCAGTGCGTAGAAAAGTAGAATTTTTTTTAATAAGACAATTGCATGTATTAAATTGGAAAATGAATAAAATCAAGTAGTAATTACCTGTTAGTTTTATCTGTTTCAATCGCGGGTGTCATTAGTTGTTCTATGTGCGGCAATGCCTCAGGCATGGCTTCATCTCCACGTGTTCACACATTCATGATATCACTGTGGAAATGATTAACATAACATTTCGCGTCATACATTTAGGATAATAGGATAATTACCAGATATAATATCATTATGCATATATTTTACATGGCATTATGCGGCATACATTTAGGATAACAGTGATTATAATAGATGACGTCAGTATGCAAATAATTAACATGGCATTCGGCAGTATACATGTAGGATAATAATATAGTAAGTACAAGATATGATATTAGTATTCATTTCATTGACAGAACATTTGGCAGCATATGCTTGTAGGATGAAAGTAATTACAAGGTATGATATCGGTTTATGTAAATAATTAACACGACATACCACAGTATCCAAAATTTCGGCACAGTGATGGCTTTTCCTCCCATGATGCTATACACCGACTATCACGAGCTAGTAGGTCGAGCCGTTTAGATTTGTGCCGCAATTCTGCATTTCCTCCCTATACCTTAAGTTAAGGAGTGAATGTTCCCCCTTCTTTTACACCTCCTCCTGCCTTCTCTACCCCAGCTTCTCACCTTCTCCACGCAAGCTTCTCGCTTTCTCTCCCCCTCCTTCTTCTCCACCAGCTTCTCCCGCTTCTCCCCCTCCTCCTTCCCACCAGCTTCCTCCCCCTCCCTCCTCCTCCTCCCTCCACCAACGCTTCCTCCCCCTCCTTCTCCATCACTTCTCCCTTTCCCCCTCCTCCTTCCTCCACCACCTCTCCCCCCCTCCCCTCCTTCTCTACCAGCTTCTCCCTTCTCCACAGCTTCTCCCTTCTCCCCCTCATTCTTCTCCACCACTTCTCCCCCCTTCTCTCCTCGCTCCTTCTCCACCACCTTGCTCCGCGGCCTTGGCCCTTCTCCCACCAGCCTTCTCCCCCCTCCTCTTTCTCGTCCTCCATCAGCTTCTCCCTTTCTCCGCTCTCCTCCTTCCTCGCCACCAGCTTCTCCCCTTCCCCTTCTCCACCACTTCTCCCGGTCCTTCTCCACCAGCTCTCCCTTCCTCTCCCCTCCGCTCCTCTCCACCAGCCTCTCCCCCTCCTCCTCTCCCCCTCCTCCTTCGTCCACCAGCTTCTCCCCTGCTCCTTCTCCACACCAGCTTCTCCCCTCCTTCGTTCTAACACACTTCTTCCCTTCTCACCCCTCCTCCTTCTCCCACCAGCTTGCTCTCCCTCCTCCTTCTCGAACACCAGCTTCTTCCCTTCTCCCCCTCTTCCTCGCTCCACCAGCTTCTCCCTTCCCCTCTCCTTCTCCCACGCCACTTCTCCCCCTTCCTCCTTCCTCCCCAGCTCTCCCTCCTTCTTCCACAGCTTCTCTCCTACTCCACTACTATACTACTCTAAAACTCCCCTCCCTCCCCCTCCCCCTCCTAACAGCTGTCCTTCGCTGACACTAGCTGTATCCGAGCAACTTAGTAGCATGGCGCAATCCTTGGCAGAGTTAGTGCACAAGCTATCGTAACTACAAAAACGAGCTGTCCAGTTGGTCGGCGTACGGGCGGGGCGGGGCTAATTCATATTATTTCGCACTCGTTCAGATCTATTCGCGCGGCACCGCGGCGTCAACGAGTTGGGCCAGCAAATCTTAACCGCTCGACGTACGGTCAGCGATATTCGGGATTGGTGGGGGAATCGAAAAACAGTTGGGCATGTTCGAAGCTGGGGGTCAAAGGTCCAAAACGGTCAAGNGGAGAAGAGAGAAGGTGGTGAAGAAGGAGGAGGGGACGAAGCTGATGGAGAAGGAGGAGGGGGAGAAGCTGGTGGAGGAGGAGAGGAAGAATGGAGAAGCTGGTGGAGAAGGAGGAGGGGGAGAATGGAGAAGCTGGTGGAGGAGGAAGGGGAGAAGAGAGAAGGTGGTGAAGGAGGAGAAGGAGGAGGGGGAGAAGCTGGTGGAGGAGGAGAGGAAGAATGGAGAAGCTATTTCCTCCTGCTGGTGGAGGAGGGGGAGAAGCTGGTGGA